CTCGCGGGGGAGCCGAAGTCATGGGTCCGGAGGGATCCTGGGTCTCACTGGCTCAGGCCCCAGCGGCGGCTCCCATTGGTCAAGGCCTGACCGGAGCTTAGCTGACGGCTCCCTTTGCATTGGCCGAGTTATGTAGGGCTCAGGCCAGCCGGTCTCCAGAAGGCCAGGACGCGGGAGGGTTCTGCCCGGAGACCACCTCTTACTGGCCTGGTGTGCACTTGGCTGGGCCTGCCTTCTCATTGCCTGAGGCCAGAAGCACTTCTGCCGCGTCTGCCTCTCATGGCCAGGGCCTGGCGCCTCTGGCTGGAGCCTCCTTGCCTTCCCGCAGCCCCAGGCCCTTTCCCCTGGCGGGGCATCAGGGTCTCTGGTTGACCGGAGCCTGGGGAGGAGGGCTGGCCTCTGCTCCCCAGGAGGCTCAGCACCCAGGGCTCAATCCTCCCCAGCCTCCCCTTTCCTGCTCCCGCTGCCCCAGCCTTCCCAGCCCTGGCCCCTCAGCCGTCAGCTGGTTTTGATGGCCTCCCACCACGCCACACACTGGTGGGAACCCCAGGGGCACTCCAGGAGCCCGAGGAGACATATTTATAGGCCCCCAGCAGGGCTGCTCCCGCCTCATCCGGGTGCCCCAGGATGGGCTCCTCCCGGCAGGGGCTTGGCCAAAGCTTTCTTAATAAAGTGCCTTTTCCCCTCTTGCTCTGACTGCTTCCTGTCTGCGGAGCCGAGGACAAGGATGTCGCCAAGTTGGCACTCACATCCCCCCCGCCCCCAGGACCCCTAACCTGAGCCTGGGAGTCCAGGGATGGGTCTCCCGGGACCAGGTTGGAAGCCAGTTGTGTCCATCTGCCCATCATTCATTTGTCAAGTTAATTTCCCACCCACCTTGGCCCTCCCTATCCTCCCAGGATGACCAGTGGGCCAGAACAAATCAGGTGGAGCCCCTTGACGATAAGGCGTGAGGGTGTGGGGCTGCGTCTGACCTGTGCTTTCCCCTCTGGCCACTGTTGTTACACTTGGGGGCTCCGAGCTGTTTGGTGTGGCTAGGTCAGGTCAGAGGCTGGGGCCAGGGGGCAGTGGGCCACGGGCACAGCCTCCAGCCTGGCCTCATCTGGCACAAACAAGACAGCCCGGCACTGCACAGAGTCCCACTGTCCGCCTCAATGGGCTCCTTGTCCTCAACCGGAAACTCTCACCACCTACCCCGCCGGTCCGGGTGTGTTGGGGGTAGAGGGAGGAAATTGGGCCTGGCCCAGAGCCCTGGCTGGCCTCAAAGGCAGTCCTCCCCTCTGCCCCCCTTCTCCCCCACACACACACTCTGGCCTGACCTTCTATCTTGCTATTTGTCTCCTAGTGTCTTCACAGATCTGGCCTCCCAAGGGCCCTTGCACAGCTACAGAGCCTTATTTCTCTATGGCACCCACTGTCCTCCATCTATCTGGACCTCTATCTTCCTGCCTCTGCCTATTGGGCCTCTTTCCCAGCAATTTGGATCAGGAGATTCTGCCAGGATTCTCCAACTACCTCCCACCCCCGCCCTGTGGACCACAGCACCACAGGAGTCTGACCAATGCTGGCACCTCAGAGATCTCACCTGGCAGCTCTCTGGCTGGATATCACATTGAGGTCAGCTTCAGTAACCCATACAGGGACCCAGCCACCTGAGTGGAGATAGCCTCATGCCATGGGGGGGGACATCTGGCAGGGCTGGCATCAACACAGTCAGTCTCTGCATCTGGCCTGATGAGGCAGCATGCGGGCTCCATATCTCCAGGACACACTGCTTCTCTCAGGCCAGCTGGGTATCCTCCCAGCTCTGGCCCTGCGGCTGGCTGGCCTCTGATCCATTTGGGCACCGGGCCATGCTGGCTGCTGGGGTTGAGAACACAGGTTCAAAGTCTGCCCGGAGGAGCAGATGACCAGCTGAACCCGAGGGCAGGGCAGTGACTGAGGGGGTGGGGATGGACAGTGCAGTGGCTCAAGCCACACTCTTGCTGTAACCCCCTCGCCCCTAGTTAGCTCCATCTCTCCCTCTCCCCCCAGCCTGGACCAGTAGTGGTCACATCAACCAGGCCTTTCCTGGGGTCTCTCCTCCCCCTGCCCTGGGAGACTTCCAGGTGTTCCAGACCCCAACCTGCAGGAACCCCTCTGTGTGGGTGCCTCCCAGAAGAGGAGGGGCGCTTCCTGAACTTTCGGCTTCCAACCCTTGCCGCTTGCCTCCCTGCTGGTCAGATGCTGTGGCCTGTAGGCCAGGCAGGACCTAGGCCGAGAAGCTCCCCCCACACAGGATGACCCAGGTGGCCATCTGGGGAAGGAGCTGCTGGGACCCTTCAAAACCCCCCTGTCCGACGTACACTCCCTCCCCACCCCCTCGGGCCTGCAGCCGTGCCAGCTCCCAGGGCAGGCGCCACAAAAGGAACCGCGGCTGCTGGAACCTCCGTTGCCATGGGGACCAGGACCACAGGGCCCACATCTGGTAGCGATTGAGGAGGAAAAATTATGAGTCGTGGAAAACGCAAATATTTTTTGTAGCACAGAGCACAAAGGAGCGGGAGGAATGTGGGACTGGAGAAGGCCTGGGCCCAGCCGGTTCCAAACAGGAACGCAGACACACACAGAGTTACACACACACACAATGCCAGGCTCAGAAATGCTGAGACACCCACAACACAAACACCACCAGACCCACAAAAACATTGAGACTGACTCACGCACTGCAACATATACCCACACATACAACGAGACTCAAAGAAATACTCCCTCGCCAACACAAACACACAACACACCACACACAGAAACACATCATGCAACTCTGCACACACACACCAAATGAATCAAGCACTGGGACAGACATGCACTGCAACAAGCATACATGTACGACCTGCCCACAGCAACACAAGGAGGCATCATCACCCCGCAAGACACACACACAGTCCAGATGATGCGCAGAACAGAAGAAAAGACTCCCTCCACAATGCACACTATGTTTTGCAGATACAGGAACACCAGGAGAGATACTTGCTGCAGTGCACACATACACCATGAGCCACAGGGAAACCACAACACAGGCACAGCCCTGCAACCCACACACACACACACCATGGGCCACAGGGAAACCACAACCCAGGCACAGCCCTGCAACCCACCCACACACACACCATGCGCCACAGGGAAACCACAACCCAGGCACAGCCCTGCAACCCACCCACACACACACCATGCGCCACAGGGAAACCACAACACAGGCACAGCCCTGCAACCCAGACACACACACACACACACACACACAGCTCAGACTTACAGAAGCACGAGAGGCACTCACTTTGCAATCACATACACCCTCCACCAGAGACACCCGGATGGACATGCTGAGTCACCTACACACATGCCATAAGACAAACAGAATCTCCGTGCAACACACATACACACCACCAGATCCATAGAACCATGAAACACATACCTTATAAACACACACATTACCTGACACAGAGATACATAGAGACAGCCACACCAAGAAACACACACAGCCCACAACGAACAGAAACACAGGAACAGATAGCCAGCCTGAAATAGCCACACAGCCCACCAGACCCAACTAAAGGCTGAGACGGGCCCTCACTCTGAAACACACACGCACGGCTGATGGAAACAGAGATGAGTTCTGCACATGCACAGCATGCCTCCAGACACACACAGTGGAAACACACAGTCCACCAAGCACTCAGAAACTGACCATACTGAGATTCTCCTGAGCCCCACGCGTATATTGGGACGCAGGAAAAGCAGCGATGGCTGGGAGATGCCCCCATTCTTCTGTGCTCTGAGAAATGGCTGGGCCTAAAGGACCACTTTCCCCTCACTCTTCCTTGTGACTCCTTGTTCACCTGCCAGAGAAACCCAAGCCCCTCCTTTCCTTGCAGATGTTCCTCATTAATGAACATTCTTCCTGTTGCCGTAGCCTGAATAAAATCCTCTCCCCGAGTGTCTGTTGCGTTCCCCCCACAGTTCTGGGGCCCGGACTTGGTATGGGTTGAACCTTGCCTCTGGGTCCCCGTTCATTCCCTCCAGGTAGTAGGCCTGTTGGAGGCCTCATGTGCTACTCCCGCATGTGTCTGGGTCCCCTGTTTCTCCCCTCCCCGGGCAGTCCCACTCTGGTCCTGTGGTCTGGGCTCTTGTTTGTCGTTACAGTTAGAAGTGGATTTTCATTCTTTTTTGAGGACTTGCTGATTTCTGGTACCAGATTGTTTCAATTTCATGATCTGACCGCGTGGTCTTTCCTCTGTTAGTCTTATCTGTTTGTGTGTTTGTCTGTTTTGAGCTTGAATGAATGAAGAGTTTATACCCACTGGGAAGATGAGTTGGAGATGTGGCCAGTGTATGAAAAGAGTTGTGCTGCCACAAAAGTTTCCTTGAGCTCTAGCAGAGAGGCTGTAAGATGAACGAGTGAGTGAGTGGGTGCCTTTGACATGTCCAACAATTGGTACACTTTGGTGACACTCACCCAGATGCTTGGCAATGCCTCCTTTGAGGACAGTAGTATATGGGTGGGATTAGGAGAGCAGAGGTCTGGGAAACAGAGAGCCAGCCTTGAAAGACAGGTGAGGTTGGGACCCACAAGGAGGAAGGGGAGAATAAGTGGGAGAGGAAAAGGAAGTCTAGATGGAGAGGACATCTGATGGGGTACAGTAGGGCGTGGATCAGGGATGATTGCACCTGGGATCATCATCAGGGACAGTCCATCTTGTAGTGAGGTCCCGTTGCAGGGCTGAGGTCACTTGGTTTAGTCAAGTGCCTGGCCAGTGTGGTCCAGTGGTTGAATGTCGACCCATGCACCAACAGGTCACTGATTCAATTCCCAGTCAGGGCACATGCCCAGGTTGTAGACTTGATCCCCAGTGTGGGGGGGGGGGCTACTTGCTATTTGTATTGGGCTTGGAGTTGCCCAGGAGATGCCCAGCTGTGAAGCAAGGAAGGCTGGTGCTAGTGCCGGTTGTGAGCCTTTTATTAATAGCATGCTGTCACCAGCTGCAGCTTGTTTGAGAGATTTTAGCAAAGTCTGAAGTCTGAGCAAGGACAGATCATTCATATGGAAAAGCTGCTGCAAATAGCTTGGGTGGGGCTGCAAATTGGATGGGGCAGGATTCAGGGAATCCCAAGGGCAGAGCAAACAGTGTGCTCCAAGCTGGTTGAGACTCAAATATGGCTGCCAGTCAGCCCTGCGACAGGGGAGGTCCCAGCACAGGAACAATGACCCCTGCAACACCCCTGTCTGGGAGAAAGTCGCCCCACCCGTGTTCCTGAGCCTAGCCATGAAGAGCCAAGCATAGCCCCAAAAAGCGGAGCTAACCCCAAAGAACCAAGCTAACCTCAAAGAGCCGAGCCAAGCCCCAAAGGGCCGAGCCTAGCCCTGAGAGCTGAAGCTAGTCCCCAAGGGATGACCCTAGTTCTTAAGAGCCGTGCCAAGCCCCAAAGAACTCAGCCTAGTCCCCCAAAGCTGAGCTTAGCTCCAAAGAGCCAAATCTAACCCCGAACAGCTGAGCCCAGTCCAGAAGGTCAGAGCCTAGCCCCTAAGTGCCTAGCGTAGCTCCAAGGAGTGCAGTCGGGGCCTGAAGAGGTAAAGCTAGTCCCCAGCGGTGACCCTAGCCCCGAAGAGCCCTACTAGCCTGGAAGAGTTGAGCCCAGACCCAAAGGGCAGAGCTAAGACCCTCAGAGGCGAACCTAGTCCCTAAGGGCCGAGCCCAGTCCTGAAGGGTGGACCCTAGGTCCCCAGAGCTGGTGCTCGGTTAAGGGATGTTTTACTTCATTTGATTACTTATAGGAGTAGAGAGGTACGCTCGGCTCTTCTGGGCTTGGCTCAGCTCTGAAGAGCCCAGAAAATCTAGTTCCTCCCGCGTGTGTCTGGGTCCCCCAGATGCCGGACAATCCCGTTTCTCCCCATATGCATTTCTGGGTCCCCGAGAGCCATCCAGTGCTGGAGCTTGGAAGAAGCAGGACGGTGTAAGTTTGTGCTCGGGCCCTTTAAGAGGAACACTGGGATTCCAACAGCCTCCATGTGACTCAGCCACATCCCTGCTGGTTTTTACAGCCTGAAGTTACAGGGACTTCTCTTCCCAGCTCTGGAACCCTGGGCTGGAGGGCTGGTGTGGGCCTGGGACCCCTTGCTCCTCACAGGCAGCATCCGCAGGGACAGGGATGATCTCCCTCCTGATTTAAAAAAATGCCACCGCCCTAGCCGGTTTGGCTCAGTGGATGGAGCATCAGCCTGCGGACTGAAGGGTCCCAGGTTTGATTCTGGCCAGGGGCACATGCCTGGGTTGCGGGCTTGATCCCCAGTGGGGGGCGTGCACGAGGCAGCTGATCGATGATTATCTCCCATTGATGTTTCTGTCTCTCTATCCCTCTCTCTTCCTCTCTGAAATCAATAAAAATATTTTTAGAGAAAACAACAAAAAACACCACACGCGGGGGCTAGTCCAGACCACTCTGCACCTCTGCCCCTCCTACCAGTCTCGATGTGCCTTCTTCTCTACTTCTCTAGTTGTAGGACTTCCATTCGGCCAGCTTTCCGGCGGTTCTGAATGATGGTTCTGTATTTTAGTTGTAATTTTGATGTGGTTGTGGGAGGCATTTACCTTTGCCACCATCTTGGTTCTCCGATAGCTTAT